AGTGCATTTAGCTCAGCACATATACTCCCTTAAACTCACAACTGGAGTAGATGACCTGTTGATCGTGTCCTGATCAATTATTTCAAAACAGATGTCTCCTCTTCCAGATCAGGAGTAGGTTCCAAACATATGTACTCACACTACATGTGTTTAGCACCCAGAACATCTGTTCTTCAACTGTCAGTTGCATGATGTTCTAACATCCTTAAGAACATCAGTTCCATCTCCTTGGAACACATCATCCTTGATAATCTTCAAGGTCTTCAAGCAGCTTGCAGATGTATATGAGAATCATTGATCAATTGATACTCATCAACACTAATAATAAATGCCTTTATGAGTGGACTTGAGGAAATCTCAAGTATCTTTGACATTATTGATAGATTGCAAAATCTGCTTATAAATTCTGTTGAAAATAATAACCCTAGAGTTCTTCTTTCACTTTAGGGGTTGTATCAGAAGCTATGCAGCATAATAGCAGTACTTCAACAGAACTTACACAGTGCTTAATAAGCATGACACATAAGGATTGAAAATAAATCAATCCTACAAGTTGTTTGCTTCTTCACCAAGCAACTTTCTAGACCCAACTCTACAGCCCTGTTAAAAGGAAGCTTTATAAACACAGATGATACCTTATTAATATCTTCACTCCCGTATGAAGTCTTTGAATTTGTTCAAACACTTTCATCTACCTTCAACATAGCTGATCAGATTGATCTAGTTTCTCCCAAATTGGTCCATCCTCCACTCCTAGGGACCAAACAATATGAACACTACTGGTTCAAACAATATTCTACCTTGTACACAACCGGAAAGTATCCCCCATGGATCTCATCCAGAGACAGACAGGATGCCTTCTCTGATACCAATTGAAATTCCTGGTATGTCACAGACTCAGGATGTCTAATGGAATGTTAAGACATCTGATCTGACATTAAGCGCTGTACAGGTAGAATAGGCTGTACTTTTGATATCAGTTCTACACCAGACACTGAACTATCATACCAGAACCTGCAACACCTTTGACAAACGCAGGTTCTGATTTACTGAAGTTCAGAACAGTTAAGGTTAATCATATACATTGATGTCATGAAGAATGCTGAGACATCAAACAAATAACCAATGCAGAAAGTAAATAACACACAGAATTGTTCACCCAGTTCGGTTCAACCAACCTACATCTGGAGGCTTCCAAGCCAGGGATAAAGTTCACTATTAGTAGTATCAATTCAAAGACCCTACAGCCAACACACCCGTTGACAGCCTTCTCACTTAATCACTACCCAATGACACTTTTACCTAAGATCCAATCCTAGATATGAGAACCCTCTCACTCCCCCTCAATCACCGCAGTGATTACTTTCTACAGTACATAAACTGTTCAGAAGATACACTTCCTTTACACAGCTTGATCATGCTTAAAAGCTTCAATCAAGTACAATGCATACATCCTCTAACCTACAGGTTTCAAGGAGTATGGTGACCATCCCACAGCCCGGGTGGTTCACAACAAAACTAGCCCTAATGATTACATCTTGTCAATACACGGCCATTTTAAATTAGGTTACAATACTTCTATTTATAACCCTTTTTACCCAACTGGATTTGGGCCTTCATATGACAGCAATGCAGCTTTAACGACCTCCATAAAGTAAGCAGAAAACTTCTGCTGCAAGTTAGGTCTTCAATCGAGCTTTTCTCCTTATCCTTAGCTTCTAATTGAATCTTCTAGAGCTCCACATATGCCTTCAATTTTCGCTACTTGTTATGCATTCTATTTGGCAGAATATTCTGCATAACTTTAGGAACAGAACTGCATCAGACTTGACAGTTCAGTAGCTTGATGTCTGGTATGATGTTATGACATCTCTTGAGACATGTTGTTCCAGATGTTGATTTAAATCAACACAACATGTTTAGGCATTTACAATAGGATTTTCAGGCTGTTCCTATTGTACATTACATTACATTATTGTTGTTACTATTTGTTTTACAAGAAATGAGCCAATCCTAAACGAAGGCACTTACAGAACCTTCTTCTCAATATTTCCGTATCTACTTTTTAGAATATTAATCCATAACGCTTCGCGCTCCGTTAAAATCCTCCACTTCCATTTACTTAACAAGGCCCTATTCGAAATCTCCACGTCCTTCACTCCAAGACCACCTAGATTGCGAGGTTTACAAATATTTTGCCAACTCACCCAATGAATTATCCTCCTTTCCTCCCTTCCTTGCCATAAAAAATCACTTTGAAGACGACGAATTTCTTGGAGAACTTTAACAGGAGCTTTGTAAAAAGAGAGCATAAATTGGTATAGAATTTAAAACTGTATTGATCAATACAACCCTTCCCGCATAGATAAGATGTCTACCTCTCCATAAAGCTAACCTTCTCCTCAAATGATCAATCAATTCCTTCCACATTGATAACTTCCTTGAACTATCACCTACCTTCACTCCTAAGAATTTGAACAGAAGCTTATCAATATCGCACGACAAAAAATTAGAAGTTGCTTCAAAGAACCCTTCTTCCACATTTAAGCCGTAAATCTTGCTTTTGTGGAAATTTATCTTTAACCCCGACATCATCTCAAAGCCTCTAAGAATAGCTTTCATAGTTCACAAATTATCCCAACCTCCTTCCGCCACTATGATCGTGTCGTCTGCAAATTGCAATAAATTAGCTTCTTCCATATTAAACTTAAAACCTTTAAAATCACCGATCTCTACCGCCTTCTTCATAAGACCGGTTAAACATTCCGTTACCAACACAAAAAGGAACGAAGATAATGGATCTCCTTGCCTCAAACCTCTTTCCACTTTAAAGTCTTTTGCCATACTTCCGCTGATGATAACGGACATGAAGCTATTAAACACACATCCATCTATCCATTGAATCCATTTACTTCCAAAGCCCATCTTAGATAGAATGTAACACAAAAAAATCCAATTCACACAATCGTAAGCTTTTTCGAAGTCCACCTTCAAAACAACACAACTCCTCTTCTCCCTTAAAGCCACGTCTAAAACCTCATTTACCATAAGAACTTCATCCGCTATATTCCTTCCCGGAACAAAAGTCGATTGATTTATCGATATTAAACTACCTAAAACAACCTTTAATCTAGCAGCCAAAAGTTTTGATAAAATCTTGAGAAGACTCCCCACTAGACAAATAGGTCTATACTCAAATAACTATTGAGGATTATAAATTTTAGGAATAAGGGTAATAAACGTGGACGTACAAGCTTTCGTGAGTTTCGCATTGGAATGGAAATCCTCCATAAATTTAAGGATATCATTCTTGAGTAAATCCCAATTAAGCTTGAAGAACTCCAAAGAGTAACCGTCCGGGCCAACACTCTTATTTCCGTCTCAACACTCTTATTTCTGTCACAGGACCACACCACATCCTTCACCTCTAGATCTGAAAAGGGCCTTTCATCCACCTAAAATCCTGATCACTTAAAGAATTGAAACACAGACCCTCCGTTATCGGTCTGTCCTTGATAGGTTCCTTAAAAATTCCTCAAAATGACACTTCACAACATCTTTTAATCTCTCAACACCATCTACTCTGCTTTCCACCCCCTCCATAACCGTAATGTTATTTCTCCTAATTCTTTCCTTCATAAAATTATGAAAAAACTGAGAATTCCTATCACCTTCTTTCAACCACAATTGTCTAGACTTTAGTCTTAGCATGCACTCTTTCAAATTTAAAGAATCCCAAATATCTCTCGACACGCTATATCTATTCTTCACAGATTCTCCAATATCACCACCAAATTGTTCTATCAATATGTTGTCCAGCATATTGAGCTCCTTCACTTTGTCATCCACTTTTAAATCTATCCATCCCAAGACCTCCCGATTCCCGCTCTTTAAGCTAGACTTGAGAAACTTCAATTTTTCACTTAGAATAAAATCACCTCTTCCCTCCACTTTAATTTTATTCCAGTCTTGATTAATGAAAGGGATGAAACCTTCATGTTTAAACCATGCGTTGTTGAACCGGAACGGTTTCGGACCCTAATCAATCTTGCCAAGATAGTTCAAATGGGACAATGGTCCAAAATATCTCTACAAACCACTCTTTGATCGATAACATTCCACCCATCAACTAAATTTATAGTGAGGAGAAATCTATCGATTCTACTCATCGCCTTGCCGTTTCTTTTAAACCAGGTATATTTTCCCCCATACAAGGGACGTCCACCAAATCCAAAGACTCAATGAAGTTTCTGAAGACAGCTCTGTCACTGCTCCTCAAATTCTCCCCCACACCTAATCTCTCTTCCCAAAAGCAAACTTCATTGAAATCTCCTCCTATACACCATTCCCCTACACCATCATTCAATTTCCTTTCCATCAGATTTTTCCACAACTCCCTCCTTGATACTGCACTACAAGGAGCATACACGTTTACAAAATTGTAAACGTCTCCCTTCCATTCAGCATTAATACCAACATAGCCTAAACTCGAGAAATGGTAATTGAGAGACAACAGATTTCGCTTCCAAAGAATCACCATACCCTCTGCTGCACCTATCGAATTGCTAGCTGACCATTCAACATCTACACTACCCCGAAAAGAACGGGCCAACGAATCATTAAAAGGATTAATTTTAGTTTCTTGAATGAAACATAAATCAATATTACATGACTTAATGAGGAAAGTGACTCTCTTCCTCTTCAAACTGGAACCTCCTCCTCTGATATTGTAAGATAAGATATTCATCTTAACATACTTGAATTCGCCTTCTTCGCCATCGCCCCACTCTTATCTCTAACTTCCACTGATTCCACTTCCTCAATGCATATATCTTTGGTCTTACTGCTGACTACCCCTAACCTTGTGATAGAATCCCAAGTTATCTTCCCCACCTCAGAATTTAGATTCTTCAGCAGCCTTCTATTACATCTTAACACTTTTGAGTCAGTGAGAGAATTGCAATTTGAGAAAGAAGAACTCGAGATACTATCTTTGTTCCTCAAATTATCCTTCGATGTTCCTGAATTAGCTCCAGATCTTCTTGGAGCCAAACAAGCGTAAAAAGATGGAAGAAATTCCACTTTTCCCCCAAGTCACTAACTTCCCTTGTCTTTCTTCTAATGGGCCTATCCTTTTTCAAAATCCTACAGGCCCTATCTAATGAATTTGGGCCTTCCAAACAAGATCTCACAACATTTGGCCCACTAGGACCCACATCATGTAGTAACTCCAGAACTGGCCCACCTTTGTTAAATACTTCATCCCCTTTACACGTCACCTTCTTAGGCTCTTCTTTATGTTTTGCATTGATACTCTCGTCTACACCTTTTAAACAGTCAAAAGGTTGAATCACCTTCGAAGATAAGTAGCTAGTTATTATCAATACAGTCAAAAGTTTTCCCATATCTCTTTAGATCTTCTTCATATGAAGAAAACTTTAATGACCCACTGGTTAGCGCCTCCTTCCTTGCTAGGGGAGGATTCTGCCCCCTTGGTCCTTGTTACTCCTGCAAAGAATCTATTGTCCTTGAGGTTAAGAACTCTATTAGCACCTTTTGGAACCCCTCGGTTCTCCGCTCTAGAATTGCGGTGACCTTCATAATATGGCACTCTTCTCCTTACCTCTCCATCTTCCCCTTAAAACTGGGCCTTCTCTGAAACCTAGGAACATTGGCGAAGAGTTTCCTATCGTCGAGAAACAGATTATCGCGTTTCGTTGCCAACAATCTTTCGTCCTCGATATTGAAATAGCGAACGAAGCTGAACCTTCTACCTCTCTTGTCCCTTGTGGGAGGTATAACAAACTCATCAATATCACCCGGCTCTTTGAACTCGATAAAAAGATCCTTGGCACACCATTTATCATCAAACTCGGTGAAATAAAACGTTGAGCTCCTCCTACCCCCTTCTTTGGCACCGCTTCCTTCCGTATCCCACCTCGCATGAACCGTCCTACGCCCTCTCTTAGCCTCCACCTTCTTCCATACGCCTTTGAAAGAGTTGCCGGCTGAGATGCTCACCATTAGAAATAGACCTGGTTTAGGATAGTTGAAAGGTTAGAGAGAGGGCAGACTTTCTCTCTCTAACATTGTTGATCCCTTCTTTGACTTTGCACGTATGAGCAACTTCAACCTTGATCACTAGGATCCTTAAAAGTGTTGAATGGTGAGTAATGACAATTTCAGTAGTATAAACATTTAATTTTCTTTGGTTTTTGAATCTTTTCCATAAAAATGATTCTATCCCTTGAAGGAACTTCCTTTTAAAAAAACTGAATAAAATTAGGAAGATTTATAAAAAGTAAAAGTCCCTAAAAGCAAAAGCAAGTATACAAGATATTACCAATCCACTCTTATGTAAGATGTTGTTTTGTCATTTTGCCAGAGAAGCAAGAGAAATAGATAGACCTTTTCAAGTAATTCATCGACATCTTACACATTGTGATCATAATGATTCCTTAATCATGAATGAAAACAAAATACTATAAAATTTGAGCTCTTTTATTGCTAAATATCACAACTTGTAGTATTAATTAGGATGGGAAGAGTTTCTAATACCAACAAAGGCAGAACAATACAACTAATTAGGATGAGAAGAGTGTCTAATATAGCTTCATAAAAAAAAGACAAATTTATATCAAATACCAATCCACTACGTCATGGGATACTTCTGAATGGAAGCTTTGGTTGAGAAACAAGAGAAATAGACGTTTTGATTCTTCTAGCATGTGCTTCATCAAAAGACCTGTACAATGTATTGTTTCAACACAATGTTATTGCAATTTATCTGGCATAATTTTCTCGAATATATCACAAGATTTTTTCAAAGAATCAACTCTTTGCCCTTTTATGGCGCTTTTAAGTATAAATAATCAAAATCGAGCAATTGCATTTGAGGTTCCAAGATAAGATTAAGGCAAAAATACAACTAACAGCTTTATAGGAAAAGATAAATTTATCACAAGAGAAACGCAAAATCAATACATACTTATGAATGAAAGTTTTGATGATGTCTTATCTTTGCTTGAGAAATACACGTTTTGATTCTTCTAGTATGTGCTTCAACAAAAGACCTGTTTAATGCATTATTTCAACACATTGTTATTGGAATTCATCTGGTATAATTTTCTACAAAATATCTCAAGTATTCTCAAAGAATCAACTTATTTATTTGAAGGATTAAATTATCACAATTTTATTTTAAAAAAATTTAACTGTACTTCAGGCCTCTAATTGATCGCGATTATGCGATTTTAGCCCTTTACTTTTTTAAGAGCAACTTTGACCTTAAATGTTTCTTCCTTAGTAATTTGGTAGCTCTTTCCTACCAATTTCATTCAAAGTTGACCTGATACTCTATACTCTCACAGTCACTACTTTTAGCAATGTTAAGTAAAAAATATATAAATATGGAATTTATAATATTAAGTAATAGGAAGTTGGTGGAAGATTTATACCAATTGAACATGAACAAGAAGATGTATCATTCAACTCCTCCATATTTTCTGTCTGAGGAATAATTAGTTGTTGCTGGTACTCTTCATTTTCAGCTCCAATTTCTTGGTGTTGTGACTCATTAATATGAACAATCGAATGTCGATGACAATCATCAAAACCTTCAATATCATCAGAATCATCCGATGGTTGAGCAGTGGATTGTATTTCAAAAGAACCTCGTACACATAAATGAGAATGAAACATAAATCTTAGTGGTTGGCAAGTACTAATATTAAGTAAAAAATATATAATATGGAATATATAATATTAAGTAAATAGGAAGTGGTGAAAGATTTATACCGATTGAACATGAACAAGAAGAGGTATCATTCAACTCTTCCATATTTTTTGTCTGAGGTATAATTAGCTGTTGCTGGTCATCTTCATTTTCAGCTCCAATTTCTTGGTGTTGTGACTCATTAATATCAAATTTTGAATGTTGATGACAATCAACATCTTTGGCCAAGAATTGTAACTCATTATCATCAGACTCATCAGATAGTTGAGAGTTGGATTGTATTTCAAAAATTTCAACTCCACTATAATTCAAGTTATATACAGGGATTACCCCACAACCAATGATCCTATTTGATTTCATCCCAAAATATTGACAACAACTGAATTGAAATGAAAGGTTGTAATGATCACCTCCACTTTCACTCTCCGCCTTCACCCAGTTGGAATCATAACACCCTATACAACCTAACGATACATGATCTGAATGTAATGCGTCTAACCAATACAATGGAGTGTATTCGCCAATTTCTCCGGTGTGTTGATAAATAGTACAAATAACTTCACCTAAATCAACATTCATTCCTCCAGAGAAAATGATGCAAATGACGAAACCACACAAACCATATTTTGGAATAGGAGGAATAACTATGGAATCCTTTGTTGTATGAAAATAAAACTCACTAGGAACTCGATCACCTGGAAAGGAAAACAAATCCATATGAAAATAAAACTCAATAGGAACTTGACCACCTGGAAAGGAAAATAAAGCCACTTTCCTCTGGGGCATGTTGTGTAACATGTTCTCATCAGGTGAATGGAGTTTGTGTAACATATTCTCAAGTATTGATCGTTGAGTAGAAATAGTGTCCAAATGAAAGCAATTAATGGCTAACAAACATTGCAAGCTAACTGGAAGCTTTGGTAGGTACTTAAGTTTCCGGCATCCAACTAAATCAAGAGTTTCCAACATTGAATTGTTATGGATGTTGCCAGGGAGAGTTTCTAAGTTGTGGCATTTTCTCAAATTTAGTCTTCTTAAAGACGGTGTGCCATCAAGGATGAGCCAAAGACTCGATGTATTGATTTGTGAGCATCCTGTAAGGTGGAGTTTAGTAAGTGAAGAAAATCCATGTACAACAGTGCCCCCTAAAGACAACTCCAACATTTCCTCCGCTGTCACCAAATATTCCGCGCCCCATAAAGACAACTCCATCATTTCGTCTGATGTCACCAAAAATTCCGCAAGAGATGAAGATTCAGAGAGATCAAGTATTTGGAGAGATTCTGTATAAATGTCATTTTTCAGGCTTTCAATCTTTGTGCAACCAGATAAATATAGTTCTCTAAGCTTGGGGGCACTAAAAATGGATGGATGAAGTTGACAGAGACTCTCACAATAACGAAGGGATACTACTTGAAGATTTGGGGCCCTTGATAAATCTGGAATCTCAACCAGGTGTTTGGATTTATCAAGATCAAGAATCATTAGACTGTCAAGCCTCTATATGAAAAAAATACAACACATAAGTCTTCACTAAATGGGATTCAAAACTTAATTAAGAATATATATTGTTTGAGAAATTTCCAAAATATTTATTAATTGATGAAAATTATTTAATGAAAGTTTTAAAACAAAGATGGTTCTATTGTTGTAGTGGATGTTTCATATGACTTTGAATTCAAGGTTGTTAGTTCAATACTTTGTTTGATATTTTGGGAGTTTGATTTACAGTTATTGATACATTGTTTTTTCCCATCAACTGGTACACGCTTTTTCTATAAATAAGGATATTGTGCAAACTGAAAAAACACATAAAAAGTACATATTTAGTGTAAACACACGTTTTATAATTTATTTTGTACAATTTTCATTGTATCGTTTTCATTTTCTTCTCATTCATATTTTGCAACAAATCCCTAACACAAAATCTAACATATATATATATATATATATATATATATATATATATATATATATATATATATATATATATAAGAGCTAACGATTACATATTAATTAAATTTCACCTGAATTCCCTCCCAGAGCTTTTTAAGATTGCTAGACTTCATTGTAAGTTGTACAAGCCATTCTCCACAAAAGGTTGATGGAAAAGACTCAAGTGGAAAAAAATCCCAATAAAGATGCCTCAATTTATCAGACAACCACTCAAGACCTTGAAAGAGATGCACTTCAGTGTCTAGATCTATAGTGATATGAAGATGTCTTAAGTTGGACATGTTTTTAAAGGAATAAGATCTCAAGTATAAATCTCCAATATCATATGCTCTAAATTCTATAGCTTCGACAACTTCAGTACCCTGATTATCAAATTTAGAATATTGATTAGAAAATGCTCATATACTTTCTTGCTTATATTTCATTCATTTTTATATACAAGCAAATGAATCTTCCACTTACCTTGTTATATTTCAATACATCATATATTTCCTTTTGATCCCACAATCGACTTCTTCTTCCGGGTTCTTGGGAAGATTCTTTTTTAACAATCTCTTTCCCCATTTCTACTAACAAACCATGCATTTTAATTTCATTTTTGTCAACGTCAAAATCATCAAAATATATGAGTGCTTTATGTAGAAGGACTTCAAATCCACTATCCGCAAAAAAATCGCAAGCATTCCATACAGCTATTCGGTAATATTTAGCTTTAATGGAATGATAACTTTGCGGTAGTGCTGTGGAGATGCATGCAATGTCTAGAAATATGTTTTGTTGAGTAGGATCTAAGTCATCAAAACTCAATTTTAACACATCATGGATTCTTCTATTGGGAATCTTTTTGAGCTTCTCCAATTCACTTTTCCATGCTTCTTTACTTTTTTTTGTACGAAAATTTGCACCTAAAACTTTCAAAGCCAGGGGATTGCCTCTGCAATAAAGAATTGCTTCTTTTGATAGATTATAAAATCCATCCTTAGGACATTTTTCTCTAAAGGCATTCCAACAGAATAATTGAAAAGATTCATCTACATTCATTTCCTCAAACTCATATATTTCACACCTGTCAAATTGGCTACATATCTGCATATCTCTAGTTGTGATAATGACTCTACTTCCCTCTCCCAAGCAATTAATAACTATGTTAACATTTTCTGCTTGCTCTATGGTTGCCACATCATCCAACACAATGAGACTTCTTTCATGTGCAAGTTTGTTCATGGAAATTGGGGTTTCTACATAAGGTGCATTGAGAGGAAGCTCCAACAATGTAGAAAAAAGTTTGTTGCGTACAAACTTGAGTCCATGCTTGGTTGATTCTTCCCTTATATCTTCAATGAAGCAAGTTCGTTCAAATTGAGAACACAGTCTACCATATAAATGTTTGGCTAGAGTGGTCTTTCCTATGCCTCCCATTCCCCATAATACAAGGATTCTAACATCATTTGACCCAATTTCCAGCAAAGATTCCATTTTTTCATACTTTTTCTCAATGCCAACAAGTTCCTTATTAACTTCAAATGGATGTCTACGATTCAATTTTTTTAAAACATCTTCCACAATGTCCTTAATAAAAATTGGTTCCATCCTAGACCAATATGAATGAGAGTAGTTAGGAGATCAACACTTTTATGATTATGATTATTAATAAAATTTATCCTCTAACATGATTGTCCAAGAAAAAAAATGTAAAAACAGATTTAGAATAAATCAGGCGGATAGTTAATTTGATTTACCCGTAGTCTTGAGAGTTCCATCCAGATAAATTGGCTGCTTCGGTGAGTGCATCTTTCCATTTCTGCAACTTGTCTTTGTTGTGTCTCAAATCTCGCTCATGTTTTTCAAAAGCTTGCTGATAACTCCCAGTTTGATTCCTCACATCAGATGGTTCTATATCATAGAAAACAGGTATGACAATCTGTCTCCGATCTCTCTTGCATTCTAGAATCTTAACGAGTTCATTCAAACACCATTTTGAAGATGCATAGTCCTTTGAAAATATGACTATAGAAGCATCTGACCCCTCAATGGCTTTGTGGAGTGCTGATGAGATCTCATCTCCTTTTTCAAGCTCAATGTCAATAAATGTTAGAACTTTTTTGTTAAGAGCTTCATAAAGATGGCTCGTGAAGGTTTTACGAGTATCCTCACCACGAAAGCTAATAAAAACATCATATTTTTTCAAGGATGCTACCATAGAAGATGAAGAAGAAGAAGAAGAAGAACCTATGTGTTGTTGCATAGCCATTACAAATCTCCAAGTACTTTGCACTAATCACAATATTATGCTCTGGTGTATTACTATACAAGTCTTTATATATAGCTGATCATTAGTTATGAGATAAAATAGCAAGTGGTAAGTTCTAGGAAATTTCGTTGGCTTCATTTATGTCGACACAGTACTTTGTCTTATCTTTATGATTGTCTTCTCTTTCTCCAATAATTGCTAAACATAAAGTAGTTGGACTGGTTTCTTATCCTTTCATACACCATTTCTCCAATAATAGTGTGATGTAAATTGAATTTGTGGTTTCTGACATAATTTTCAAAGCCTTTTACTAAATTTACTAGACTCAACCACTCTTTGATGGCACCGCTATCTAATTTGTATGTCACAACTGCATTACAATGTGTGTTGTGATTATTTTTTAAGTTCCATTTAGCTTTCGTACATGTAGGATGGTTAAACACGTAGTTCTAACCATAATAACTTGGGAAGGTTCTCCTTTGCAACAATACTGATCTGGAATAAATGGTTAGAGAGAGATAGAGACAAAGTCGCCAAAATAATCAAACTCAAAGGTAGCAAATCTTCTGTCCTTATTACTTATGCTATGTGGAATAAATGTTGTGTTAATTCATCCTACCTATACATACAATTCCATGTGATTGACCTACATGTCCCGAAACTCTATTAACATTGATCTAGGCACAATATTTTTCTAAATTTAATAAAAGAACTGAATTATTAACAGACATTCTCCTTCATAGAAACCAGTATTAAGACTCAATGATTAATGTACATGTAGGATGGTTAAACACGTTTTGTTTTTGTAATATGAAGGGCCTAGGCCCAAAAGCAAGAAAAAACTACAAAACAACTACTCTAGAGGAGATCTCTACACTATTATCCTTCTCAATTAGATGAACCAGTCACCTAGGAATCTCATGGTAAACAAAGATATCACCCTTCAACCTCTTCCCTTCTATAGCAAGCAGGTTGGCACATCTATTGATTTCTCTATAAACATGATGAATCTCTATCACTTCAAATTTTGCCATCAGAATTTTGATTTGAAACACCAAATTACCAGCAACCATATTCTTGTTATAACCTCTCATGATGCTAGTAACTGCAATGCAGGAATCTGACTCAATTTCCACCTTCTTAAACCCACGGTCTTCCGAGAACTTTAACCCAATGAAAATGCTTCAAAACTCCGCCATCAACGGGCTGCAACACCCAATACACTTGGAGAAACCACCAAGCCAAGAGCCATGCTCATATTTGAGAATTCCTCCACAGCCCGACATCCCTTTGTTGTCGTTGTTGGTGCACAAATAAGAGATAAAAGCCAAAAGAAATATATTTACTGACAACTTCAAAATAAAGATTTACAATTGAATTACAATAACCTACTCCACTAGACTATTTATACACAAAATTTTATCTTCTAACAAAGACATAAAAAGATATAATAATATCCTCTAAAAAGATATTCCTAAATATAAATCAATATTTAAAATTTAAATTAAATCTAACACCATCCATTAATTTATATTTACCTAAAACTGACAACACCAATTTCATCCCTCAAACGAAGAAATTGATCAGTCTTAATAGCCTTTGTCAAAACATCTGTCAGCTGCTTCTGGGCGCTACAGTGCACAACTTCTAATATTCCGCTATGAACTTGATTCCTCAGAAAGTGATATTTGGTCTCAATATGCTTGTTTCTCCCGTGCAACACTGGGTTCTTGGCAAGATTGATTGCAGACTTGTTATCAATCATCAACTTCAGAGGTTTGTCTACTTTAATCTTCAGATCTTGCAGCGAGTTCATAATCCACACAACTTGACATGCAGTCAGAGTGCCTGCAATATATTCAGCCTCACAGGTTGACAGAGTAACAACAGATTGCTTCTTGGAACACCAAGAAATAGAACCTCCCAGAAATTTGAATAAGTACCCAGAAGTACTTCTTCTGTCAACTCTATCTCCGCACCAATCAGAGTCTGAATAACTCAGAAGTTCTGATTCGATCTTTTTTTTCCAGACGGAAATAACACTCCATAATTCAGAGTTCCCTTTACATACCTCGGAATCCTGACAGCAGCTTGGTAATGAGACCATTTTGGTTTATTCATAAATCTTCTAACCATTCCAACTGCATAGCAAATATCAAGTCTGGTATTACACAAATACCTTAGAGAACCAACCAACTATTTGAAGGTTGTAGCATCCACATCCTCTCCATCAGAATCAGAGTCCAACTTCTGATTCGTATCAACCGGTGTGATAGCAACTTTGCAATTCTCTAGCTCAAATCTCTTCAGAAGCTCAAGTTCATATTTCATCTGATGCAAAATGATTCCTTTCTCAGAGTACATAAATTTCATCCCTAGAAAGAAACTCATTTTCCCAAAATCTGTCATCTCAAACGCATTCATCAGAACTTTCTTGAACTCAGCTATTTCTTGTTCAGAACTTCCTGTTAGAAATATTTCATCAACATACAAATATACCAGAATCATATTACCTTCTGAAGTATGCTGAACATAAACACCATACTCCATCTCACACTTCTGAAACCCTTGTTCCTTGAAAAACGAATCAATCTTCAAATTCCAAGCTCTGAGTGCTTGCTTCAATCCATACAAGACTTTGTGTGATTTGAAAACCATCCCTTTCTGATTCTTTTTCTCAAATCCAGGAGGTTGTGATACGTATACCTCTTCTTGTAATGGACCATTCAGAAATGCAGACTTTACATCTAAATGCATCAGAGGCCAATTCCTATTAGCAGGTATTGTAATCACTAGTCTGATTGTTTCATGTCTTGCTACAGGTGCAAACACTTCAGAGTAATCCAGCCCAGGCTTCTGTAGAAAGCCTCTTCCTACTAATCTTACTTTGTGTTTGCTAATTGATTCATCTAGCTTTAGATTCTTCTTGAAAACCCATCTGACGCTGATGGCTTTCTTGCCTTTTGGAAGTTCTGTCAGCTTTTAAATCTTGTTTCTCTCTATAGCATCAAGTTCTTCTTTCATGACATACAATCAAACTTGCTGCTTAAGAGCATCTTCCGTACTCACAGGTTCAGAGTATACTAACGTTTCACACTGAATAACTTCTCCCTCAGAGTCTACTTCAGTGTCTTGCAATATGTCAAACTCTGCAAATCTTCTTGGGATGCTTATGACTTTTTGTTGCCTCTGAATTGGACCTTCAGAATTTTGGACACCAGAACTTTCCCCTTCAGAAGCACTAGCTTCAGAATTTGGACTTTCTCCAGAACCTTGACTGTCTTCAGAGTCTGGATCACCATCGGAGTCAGAGTCATAATCCATCTTCTCCTTTTGTATCTTCTTCAGAGTCAGAGTCTTTACCAGCTTCACAAACATGTGTTTCTAAATTTTCTTCAGGAGTTCTCTCATCAGAGTCAAGACGATATCTTTCCCAATTCCAAGATTTTGATAGCTTTCCCTGTAAGAGGAATACCAAGATATTTTCCAAAACCAATAGTTTCTCCAAAACCTGAAATATGCACCAGCTTGGATATATTACTTCTAGTAACATTGTTTGAAAACATAATACTAGATTTTTCCTTGCTCATCTCCTGCCCCGACTTAAGATAAAAATCTTCAAGAGTCTCTTTAACACACGCCAAATGATTCTCATTAGCCTCCCAAAAGATAAGAAAATCATTGGCGAACATAAGATGGGAGTATTGACTCCATTTCTTCCATCTTGAAAAGGTTTCCACTGTTTCTTGTTCACTGCATGCTCAATTATGTGAGATAATTTGTCCATGCAAAGCAGAAACAAATAAGGTGAAATTGGATCACCTTATCTGATCCCTCGTTGAGGAGGAAAGTAGTCATTCTTGCTACCATTCCAATTGATATTAGTCTCCACACTTGTCACCCCATGCATAATGACATTTATAATCTCTTCTGAAAAATCAATCTCCGCTAAAATACGCCAAATGAACTCCCAATTAAGCTTGTCATAGGCTTTAGATAAGTCGATTTTAATAGCAAAGTATCATATTTTTCCTTTTTTATCATGCATAGTATGGATAACTTCATTGGCAATAATAATATTTTCATGTATAGATCTACCAAGAATGAACCCCGTTTGGAAAGGAGAAACAAGGTGCATCATGATTGGCTTTAACCTCCCAACAATCACCTTACTAATCACCTTATAAATGGTGTTACACAAAGATATGGGCCGGAACTGAGAAATTTTTGTAGGCTGCTCAATTTTTGGAATGAGACATATGTCTGTCTTATTAATATCAGCCACGATGTTAGGACTCCTCCAAAATTCTTTAACCAAATTTGAGCCAACTTCTAATGTGTGCTTCTGTATTTTAACCAATGAACTCTAAACAAGTTCACTAAAGACATGTCATAATGAAAGCACTCTGATTAAAGTGTACAAGTAATAGATAGTCTTTTCATCATCAGATGGAACCAACATTGTTCAGAAGTTAAAGAACCTTCTTAAAGATAAAGTTATCTTGATCCTAGCATCATAACATTCAAAAGAAGATAAGAAACAGATATGAGAAAATCAGAAGTAGAAGACTATCTAAATAATTTGGATAGAAAGCTCCATAAGAAGAAGCCATGACAAATCAAAACTCTAAAAGAATCAAGCTTAGTTGGAAGCTCATTTTGGAATCAGACTTTCTGTAAAGTTGACTCTAATGTTTAAAGCATTTGACCCTGATGGTCGAAAATATCAATTGGCATAATTAGCATTTTGGCATCTGAATCAAGTCGCAGCTGGTACCTGAATCAAAGTATTCTCTCATCTGAATCAAAACTTCTAAGTATTCAATATCTGATCTATTACAACCAGGGGGAATTCACCTAGAAGGTTCACACTCAGGATATCTGATCCTCACCTAGTCTGTGACTCAGGGGGGGTTTCTCATCTGAAGGGTAAGCATTCCTTAACCTTCTTATTTCACTGATTATGATTATGTATAAAATTGTGTTATCAAAATACATAG